CTGTCATTCCTACAAAATGTCCAGCCTAACAAGACACTTGCTGTATTGGGAAGAAATTCCCTGAGAGCTAGGTAGACTTTTTTCTGTGGTCATGATATGCTCCCTCTTAGGAGCAATTCTAGCTGCCCATGTCCCACTGCCATCTTAATTTGAATATTGCTCACCTGAAATACTGATAAAATAGGTTGAGCACCAGAGTTTGAAAGGTCATCCTTGTGTCCATACAGGTTTCAGGGGGCAGGTTGAGGGAGGTCCAGGCCTTTGGCATGTGGGCTTGTCTAAGCAGGTTAAGTACAACGTCAGAAGGAGCAGACTGTAGGGGTGATACAGCTGTTTAAAAAATAGAATTTGTAGGATGACATTTATGTAATGCAACTAGAAACCCCAAGTATAGGAAAAATAAATATATTGGTGTGTGGGTTGGCAACCCTCTTGTAGGTTGTTCAGCTTGTGAAACTTGGTGTTCCTAGGATCAAAAGAAGGGTTAGATTATAAAGTGACTTTTTGGTACCCTAGCTGGGAACTGGTCTAAGTAGTGACTCTGAACAGAGGATAGTCTCGGGAGGCCTATAGGAAAGTGCCAGTAAAGGTTTAATAAATTACTGGTGGCTTTGTTCTTTATTTTCTGGGTAGGTCTTTGTTCTGGATGCATCTGTTCTTCCTCAAGTTCAGTCATTTGGCCAGAAATCAGCAAAAGAATCATCACTGCTTGACACTTTTTAGTGCCAGTCCCAAGGAAAAGAACTACTATGCTATGGGATAGGAGCTTAGAAGATGTGATTGAAGATGATGATGAGGAACAGCACATGTCAAGAGAAGAAGCATTGCAGCAACATGAAGCAAATCAAGTTGGTATGGGAAAAGAAGACTATATGGTATGTGCTAAGGCTTCTTTAAGAATTAGTGTAGAATGGAGTCTTGAAGCAAAGCGGTGTTCTCATTTTCCCACCTCATGGTTTTTTGGTGGGTTGTTTTTTTTTTTTCTGATCACCATTCTACTTGAATATCTGAATCTACTTCAGATCACCATTCTACTTGAATATCTGAATCTACTTCAGATCTAAAAGTGGGATTGATCTAAAAGTGGGATTACTCATGACTTAGTGCCTACTGTGGGAAAACTGTACAGACTGAGAAGTAAGAGTTGCAGATTTCTATTTCTCTCCTTTTGGTAACCCATGCAATAACCATGCACAGCAAGTAGTATTACCTGTTTTCTAGCAATAGAGAAGACTGTTCCTTTGTGTTCTATGTTCAGGAAAAATCTGAAAACTGTTCTGTAAGGAACAGCAATTTTGGTCAATTCTAGGGAAGACAAGGGTGAGGGAACAGGGGACTTGAGGGTTTTGTGGAGTTTTCATTATTATTGCCCCCAAATGAGGATCTGGAAAACAAGAACCAAATCCTATGGCGCTTAAGCCTGTGTTTTTAAGACAGCTTCCAGAATTCTTGTAATAAGCCTGTTGTTTGCTGATGCCTACTCTGTGTGAACTTATAAATTGCTGAGTAAATTGCTGATAGTTCAATCTACTGATGAATCCTCCTGTTGCATGAATGAGCTAGTAAAAGAACTGTAAGAACTTTCGCCAGTTAAGTGTTGTAATGGTTGAGGAAAGGGGAAAAATGTCACTTGTGGGAAACTTTCTTTATTGAAAACTTATGGTAATTCTAGACACTGCTGAATCTCATAGAAGACTTGAAGGATAAACTTATTGCTGAAAAGAATAACAAGCTACTGATGGAAATAAAAATTCGTGAAGAAGTCACAGAAGAATTTACACGTTTTTTTTGCTAAACGGGAAAGAGATTTCAAGTAAGAGAGCTTTAAGCAGTTTTGAAGTTACTGATTTAAAAAAAGAAAAAAAAAGTAAAATTCACTTGTTCCTTAAACCTGTCTCTCAGCCAGAAGAAACCCTCCACCCTCTTCTGATAGATTTACCACATCTGTTAATACATCAGTTTTCTATTTGGACAATGAGTTCAGGAAAAATGTCTAATCTGTAAGTGGTGTTTGTTCCCTTAGAATTTTCCGTACAAGAAAGGCTTTTTTTCATAGGATTTGTATTAAAAAGAGGGACACTTGCATATTCTTTAGTTACTGCAGTCTTGGGGATACTCCAGACAGATATTTTGACTTGAGAAGCTTACTAAAAAAGTTTAAGCGCTATCCATAATCTTTGAATATATTAGTCCGCCCTCATTATTTGGGGGTGTGTGGCATGGGAAATATACTTGTATTTTGGTGTAGCAGCACTGTTTTGTGTATCATTCTATTGTGCTAAAATAAACAACTTTGTTTATAAGCAGCTGTACTAATAACTTCTTAGCATCTCGTACTGGCTAGCTTTTATCTGACTATATTTTTCCTACTGTACAGAGAGTGCCTTTCTCAGGAACGAGAACGACTTGAAGAGAATACTGAAAGACGTCTGGAAATCTTCAAGGAACTTGTAAATGGTTATATTGAAAACACAGATGAAGGATATAAAGACAGGCCTGGCAGTGAGCAAGCTGAACCTCTGGTACTTTTACCTTTGTACACCCCCTAACCCGTGCCCCAACATCTCCTTTACTAACTATCCATTATGGCCATTATGTTTTGGGGATTAGAAGAGTGGTTTCGAAGATTATGTGCTGTGTAACTGTATTCTCAGCAAGATGTATTTATCCAATTTAATAGCAGTTGTTGAGCCTTGGGTGGGTGTGCATTTAGGCATCTTTGGGGTTTTCTGCATTCTCTGTTCTCTTGCTGTATTTAGTCAATGTTCTCCTCAGGTAAAAAAAATACCTGCTCTTACACTAAGTTTGGAGGGGATGTTTTTGTGGTGATGTGAAAGGGAATGTGATGGGTCATTAGATGTTTTAAAAAAAGAAAAATAGCTATGACTTGATACTGGAGAGTTGTGTGTAAAGGTAGACAAAAACTGGCAATCAAAACGTCTGAAAACCAAAGATGGTTTTGAAGTGAGAATTAGCTGTACTTATATGTTTGAATTCATAATGGTCTTCCCATTTTTCTGTAGAAATAATGACTACTGGGTAATTATTTGCCATTTCTAATTGGGTATAAATTATCTTTCAGGATGAAAACCATAGCGTTGGGCCTGGTACCTACACTGATCTTGAGGGCGTTGTTGCTTCCCTGCAGGATGATGTTGCGGATATCAAAAAGCAAGCAGAAGAAGCACACAAGTACATTGGGAACCTAGAGGACCAACAGAAAGTTATAGGTTGGCTTGAAAAAGAACTGGGAAAAACTACCACTGAGCTAACTAAGACCAAAGAAGAGCTGGGAATGAAAAGCAAGGAACTAATTCAAAGCTGAAGGAGAGCTGGCAAAGAAAAGCAAGGGTGAGCTGGGTGTAACCATGTGAAAGGCAAAACCAAGAAAGGACTGACTACTGACTATGCTCCATCCCTGGCGGTGTTCAAGGCCAGGTTGGACGGAGCCTTGGGTGACACGGTTTAATGTGAGGTCTCCCTGCCCATGGCAGGGGGCTTGGAACTAGATGATCCTAAGGTCCTTTCCAACCCTAACTATTCTATGATTCTAAGTAGAGCAAATGATCTAATTAAGCAGGATTTTGGAACCAAATCGTATGTATCAATGTGGTAACCAATTGTTTTATATATGTTCAGGTTGAACAATTTCACAGGTCTTGGTTATTCCATTTTTAAGACTACTTAATTTTATCAATTGCAGGCTTCTGAATCATGGGGTAAAACATAAAATTGAATCTTGATTTCATGATATTGTAGTCCCAGCACTTTACATTTTGCTGATGCAGTGTTTTCAGGTACCCTGTGGAACGATCATAGAGGAAAAAGTAACAATACCTTTTAATATAATTTCACCAGAAGTCTCTTGTCATGATCTGTTTTATGTGGGTTGCAAGGCTCAATTCTGTTTAAAAAAAAACAAACCAATTAAGCAACTTCTGAAATGTCTTGAGTATATGTCAACATGGAATTAAATCAATCTATTCAAAAGCTACTGAGTTACCAGAAGACTTGGAAAAAATAGACTAATAAGTAAACTACATATTGACTGCTTATTTGATACAGTCTTTTCTTGTTGCAGACATTCAAACACAGATGATAAAATTAGCTGAGTCATCTGAGCAGCTTAAAGAAGCAGCTGAGGTAACTTTCTCAAGGAAAAACTTGTGCAAAATGATGTGGTTTAATACAGTATTCCAATAGCTTAAAATTCCATTATGACTGATATTGCTTCCAAGTAGTTGAATGATTTAACACTGACTGAATTACTGTTCTTTCATTTCCAAGAAAATGAATACACAGAATAAAAGGATTCAAGAACTAATGGACATTGTGGAGCAAAAAGATGATGCTATTATGAGACTACAAGATTCGATATCCCTTTTAGAAGAAACCATAAAAGACTATGTAAGTCTTGGGTGTCTCAATTTTCCTTATACAAAGATCTAAATCTATCTTAATATTGGCTTAACTATTTCAGAAAATTGAATTTTTCTGTAAGGAATTGATGCTTGCTTGAATGGTAGCAGGTGAGTTGGCATTGAAAGGAAAGTTACAGCGAAATGTGTGCGGGGGTGGGGGGTGTGGAGAAATGGAACTTTCAGAAGCAGTGATCTGGAGTTACTGGGCAACTGGAGATGAGACTTTGAAAAGGCACTCTAAGGAAAAGGGGGTGGGGGTGGGGAAACTAAACTCAAAGTGGGAGGACTTAAACAGTAGGAATAGAGGGATTATGTCACTGTCCTTACTTTTGCCTGACTGGAAGAGGAAGAAAAGGAGGTTTTGTTGCAGTAGAAAGTCAAATTTTATTTAAGTCAAAAAGTTAATAATGTGAGAAGGGTAGCGATTGCATAAATTAGTAAGAAAAATCAGTGTTTCTCCCACCACCACCTCCAGCATGCACACACCCTTTTAAAGGGAGGGCATATGAATATATTGAACAGAGTTTTACCTGGGAGTGGTTGGCCAGGGTATCTCTGCTTTTGATTGTGTTTTGAAACACAACAAAACATCAAAATCTGCATTTAGGGTTGGTTTGTTTTTTGGTTTTGGTTTGTTTTTTTTTGAGCAGGATGTCCAGTAACCTGAAGTAGTTCTGAGAACCCTTCAAATTAAACTTAGCCGGGGCTCTGACCTATTTCTCTCTTCCACTATAAACTTAAGGCTTTGATATACTTAATCTTCTGCTCCCTTTATTGTCCCACAGCAACTTAGCTATTCAAAAGTGTGAATGTTCTGAGTGTAAGAGTTTTGATGACTCTAATCTGTCCAGTGTTTCTGGAGAGTGTGTGGTGCAAAACTTAAAATGACCACAAACCTCAGCCTGAATAGATTTCCATTTTTTTTTTTTTCATGGAAGTACTTTAAGATGAATAATTGGTCCTTGGCAACCAGCATGGCTTGTTACTTCTGTCATCTTGAAAGTGAAACTTCATTCTTAATCAAACATGCAGTCTAACTGGGCTTTTAAGTTACTTCCAACTACCAAGTATGACAAGGAAGTGATGAACTTACAGAGCTGACTATTTGCTGTTTGTACAAATCAGGAATTCAACTCTTTTGACACTGGACACTGCTTTAGACGGGAAGCAAACTCCTCTTACATGCAAGTCTTGCATTTTGTAGTTTACTAGTTTCTTGTTATGTTTCTGTACTTCAGACAAGCGCAATGCTTTGCACTGTATCTGAAAGCCACCTGCTTTTGATTTAAGTAACTGATCTATAACTGATTTGTTCCTCTCACAACCCCTAAACATATTAGATAATTTTGTAAAAATACTTGGTTATAAAAGATTAATAAGCTTTTTAAGTGCTCACTTTTTAAAACTTAAAAGTAATTGATCTTATTTTAACACAGGACAACACTGTAACTAGCCTTAAAAGAATGGCAGAAAAGAACTCTAACCAGGTGATTGAAAGCAGTCAGTTCAAGGATTGTGAAGATACTGTATTGGGAGTGGGAAGAAAACGCTGCTTTGAAAATAGGCCTACTGTGGAAGAAGAGCCACCTACAAAGAAAGGTACAATTTCTACCATCACTCAAGAGGGGGCCTCCCAAAAAAACTTGATTAATATTCCAGAGCAGAAACTAAAAGCTGTGAAGCGTAAACATTGCGTTACGAAGAGAAAACCTACTATGTTAAACTGTAAATGGAAGTAACTTGTGTAAATTTCATCTGTCTTGAAGCAGATCCTATACTGTGCACTCCTAAATGTTTAAAATAAAAGTTAGTTTTTAGACTTTTCCTCATCTTTTTATGGACTTGCACACTCAGCTGTAGTTCTTAAAAAATTTCTTAACAGCTGGTTTTGTACAAAACTTGCTGTTGATGGACTTCTGGGAAAGTAGCAGCTCCCACTCAAGCTGTTTTAAAATATTCTAAGCAATCATCAAAGGGGTCTGTCAATGACTGTTTTCAGTCATACAGCATGTACTGTTAAACTTTGCTTCGTTCTGAATGCATGCTGTGAGCACACCAGCTTTTGTCACTGTGACAGTGCTGGCAAAGTAGAGAAACTTTCCATTTGAATGGAAGTAAAATTATTTCAAGTCCACAGATAGCATATTTTGTGCAGCTCACGTTTGCACTTTAATCTTTTCGCTTTCCTTCCTTCATCTGTGAGCTTACCAGTTCTCTTAGAATGAGGTGAATAAACTAGCTACAGTGGAAGACCTTCAAGGGTAAGTGTGAAACTTAAAAGGACACTGCACTTAAATTATCTATTTCATTAAGGTCTATTAATCAGTGAGATTTGAGCTATGGGACAGATCTTGTACAAATGGTATATGTAAGAGCTGCCTGCATCTAAGTGACTTGATGAGAGAGCTGGCCTTCAGTTTCCCAGAATTATGGAAAAGTACATACAAAAGCAGAATGAAGTGTCTTCCCTTTGTGTCCCTTACTTTCTTGCCTTCCTCCTGCAGAATAGATGCAAGCAAGAAAATGTTCTAGGTGAGAATAGGATAGAAAAATAGAAATAAAATTTAAAAAAATGGGAAGCAGAAAACATTTATGTCCATAAAGAGGAGACAAAACATGCTAAAAGGAGACTTGTTAAATTCACATACTCAGAGAAAACTGGGGATACAGATAGTGAGTAAACTGAATGTTGGACTGTCATGTATCACACCCTACAGTGAAAGAACAAGGGAACACTAGATCAAGTAGAAGATCGGTTTAACTTTATGGAAAAAAGAATTTCATGCAGTGGGTAATGATCTTCTAGTATTTCCTGCCCTAGAAGTTAGGAGAGGCAGATGATTCTCAGATTCCAGGAATGATTAGACAAGCTAGCAGCCAATAGGTCCACACACAGATACTGAAATGGTTAAGCAGAGTTAAACTGTCCTATGTTCTTCCAACACTCCCAATTGTTCTGTATCAGGGAAGGTCTGTAGGAAGTGGCTGGACCCAACAACAGTAGAAAAAGGTGGTAAAATATTAGGCTATGTCAACTGATGGTGTGTGATGCAGTGGGGTATTTGTCATTTGAAGTCTCATTTTAAGACTTATAAAAGTCACACTTACAGAAAGCTTCTGTCTCTATACCAGATGCATGTCTCATTCAGCTCTATCTTTGATTAGGATGAATATTAGATCATAGCATGGCCATTAGATGGTGCCATCTATATAAGGGTGGGAAATGAAGCTCATCTAGACTTACTGATATACTAGATAGTAGTAGGTTTGTTATCTCATGACTGAAGCTCATCTAAACAAAAATAGAAAAGGGATAGTACTCAAAAAAAAAATTGACCATCAGTGCCAATTAATGTAAGCACTGAGATTTTTTTTTTTTTTCTGTTGGGAAGAGCAGGCTATTCAGTAGTGTTAAATATGTTTCTTTTGTGGGTGTTGAGTATAGAAGGCATCTGGTTTTAAAACTGAGTTGTTTGAAGCTCCAAAATGAAGACTTTTATTAATATATGCTTACATTTAACCATTCTTGTTAAGTGTGCAACAGAACAATTTGTGCAGCTACACTGTGATCATTTTCTGATAGTATTTAGAGATACTAATGACCTAAGACTGAAGTTTTATCTTTTTGAACTTTCTAGATTTGTACTCTTCTTTAAAAATTGCCTTCCATATTTTGGAGTGGAGCTTTTTCTTTTTAGAATCATAGAATCATAGAACAGTTAGGGTTGGAAAGGACCTTAAGATCATCAAGTTCCAACCCACCTGCCATGGGCAGGGACACTTTGCTCTAAACCATATTACCCAAGGCCTCGTCCAACCTAGCCTTGAACACTGCCAGGGATGAAGCATTCACAACCTCCCTGGACAACCTATTCCAGTGCCTCACTACCCTAACAGGAAAGAATTTCCTCCTTATATCCAATCTAAACTTCCCCTGTTTAGGTTTTAACCCATTACCCCTTGTCCTGTCACTACAGTCCCTAATGAAGAGTCCATCCCCAGCATCCCTATAGGCTCCCTTCAGATACTGGAAGGCTGCTATGAGGTCTCCATGCAGCTTTCTCTTCTCCAGGCTGAACAGCCCCAACTTTCTTGGCCGATATTCATATGGGAGGTGCTCCAGCCCCCTGATCATTCTTGTGGCCCTCCTCTGGACTTGTTCCAACAGATCCATGTCTTTTTTACGTTGAGTACACCAGAATTGCACACAATACTCCAAGTGAGGTCTCACGAGAGCAGAATAAAGGGGCAGGATCACCTCCTTCGACCTGCTGGTCACGCTCCTTTTGATGCAGCCCAGGATACGGTTGGCTTTCTGGGCTGCAAGCGCACACTGCCGGCTCATACTCATTTTCTCATCAACCAGCACCCCCAAGTCCTTCTCCGCAGGGCTGCTCTGAATCTCTTCTCTGCCCAGGCTGTAGCTGTGTCTGGGATTGCTTCGACCCAGGTGTAGGACCTTTCACTTGGCATGGTTAAACTTCATGAGGTTGGCACCAGCCCACCTCACAAGCGTGTCAAGGTCCCTCTGGATGGCATTCCTTCTCTCCAGCGTATCAACCAAACCACACAGCTTGGTGTCATCGGCAAACTTGCTGAGGGCACGCTCAATCCCACTGTCCATGTCAGTGACGAAGATGTTAAACAAGACTGGTCCCAACACTGATCGCTGAGGGTCACCACTCAACTGGTCTCCAGCCGGGCACTGAGCCATTGACCACAACTCTTTGTGTGCGGCCATCCAGCCAGTTCTTTATCCACTGAGTGGTGCACCTATCAAATTGATGTCTCTCCAATTTAGAGACAAGGATGTCTTGTGGGACAGTGTCGAATGCTTTGCACAAGTCCAGGTGGATGACATCAACTGCTTTACCACTGTCCCTCAGTTCTGTAGCCCCATCATAGAAGGCCACCAAATTGGTCAGGCAGGATTTCCCCTTAGTGAAGCCATGCTGGCTGTCACCAAGCACCTTGTTGTTTTTCCTGTGCCTTAGCATGCTTTCCAGGAGAATCTGCTCCAAGATTTTGCCAGGCACAGAGGTGAGACTGACTGGTCTGTAATTCCCTGGGTCATCCCTTTTCCCCTTCTTGAAAATGGGGGTTATATTTCCCTTTTTCCAGTCATCGGGAACTTCACCTGACTGCCATGATTTCTCGTATATGATGGCCAGTGGCTTAGCAACTTTATTCGCCAGCTCCTTCAGGAACCGTGAATGGATTTCATCAGGTCCCATGGACTTGTGCACGTTCAGATTTTTAAGATGGTCTCGAGCCAGTTCCTCTCCTACAGTGGGCCCAAGGTCTTCTTTCTCACAGTCCCTGCATCTGCCTTCCAAGACTTGGGTGATGCGGTCAGAGCCTTTGCTAGAGAAGACCGAGGCAAAGAAGTACTTCAGAACCTCAGCCTTCTCCAAATCCTGTGTAGCTAGTTCACCCGAGAGCTTCCTGAGGGATCCTGCGTTCTCCCTAATCTGTTTTTTATTTGCTGTGTACATGTAGAATCCCTTCCTGTTATCCTTAATATCCCTAGCCAAGTTTAATTCTAACTGGGCCTTAGCTTTCCTAACTTTGTCTCTAGCTTCCCAGACAATATCCCTGTACTCTTCCCAGGCTGCCTGTCCTTGCTTCCACTTTCTATAAAGCTCTTTTTTCATTTGAATTTTCCTCAGCAGCTCCTTATCCATTCAAGGAGGTCTCCTGGTCCTCCTGCTGCACTTCCTTCTAGTTGGGATGCAACACTCCTGAGCTTGTAGCGGGTGATCCTTGAAGACCAACCAAGAGTCTTGAGCCCCCCTGCCCTCTAGGGCTATATCCCATGGAACCTTACTAAGCAGGTTCCTGAAGAGGCTGAAGTCTGCTTTTTTGAAGTCCAGGTCAGTGAGCTTGCTGCACGCTCTTCTCACTGTCCTAAGGATTTCAAATTCAACCATCTCATGGTCGCTGCATCCAAGGCTGCCCTGCAGTGCCACATTTCCAGCAAGCCCTTCCCTGTTGGTGAGCACAAGGTCAAGCATGGCACCTCTCCTTGTCGGTTCCTCTATTACTTGCAGAAGGAAGTTGTCTTCCACGCAATCGAGGAACCTCTTGGATTGCTTGTGCCAGGCTGGACCGTCATTCCAACAGATGTCAGGTGGCTGAAGTCACCCGTGAGCGTGAGGCTTTTCCTATCTTCCTATGGAGTGCTTCATCAGCAGATTCCTCTTGGTCAGGTGGTCTATAACATATCCCCACAGTAATGTCTCCCATCGCTGTTTTCCCTTTAACCCTGACCCACAAGCTCTCTGTTATCTGCTCACTTGTCCCCAGACAGAGTTCCATACACTCCAGCCTATCCCTAACATAAAGGGCAACTCCCCCTCCGCGCCTGCCAGGCCTGTCTTTTCTAAAGAGTCTGTAACCTTCCGTTCCAACACTTAAGTCATAGGAGCCATCCCACCATGTTTCTGTGATGCCTATAATGTCATACCCCCGTAGATGAGCACACAAGTCCTTCCTACGTAAAAACCTTCTGGAGTAAATATTGTTTTCTTGCACTAGTATTTTACTTTGCTTGCATGGTTGTGGTTGTCAGTATCATGCATCTAAATAATTTCTAAATCTTATTGTGAATGATCATACTCTACTCACTGTAGGTGTTGGGCTATGATGTGCTTTTTTTTTTTCATCTTGCCACCTTACATCACAAAATGTGTTAAGGTAACTTGGCACCTTTCCCTTTTAGTGTGAACTGTGCAAAACTCATGTCCAATGAAAATATGTAGCATTTGGATAGGTAGAAAATGATTTTCCTACCTAGAATTTTTCATCTTGTAGGATTCAAAACCATGGCTTTACAAGCCAAAGTAAAGCTGCTGTTGTGTCTGACCTAGCAGGAGCACTTGATATATGTCTAACTAGAACAGAAATTTACAGAAAAGCAGGAAGGAAAAATGTCCTGTGGAATTTGATCACTCTAAAAATAATAAAAAAACCCAACAAAGTGAAATCAGAACCTCATTTGAGATGGAGAACACTGTTGCTAATGTTTCAGTATCACTTATTGTTACTAACTCTATAAAACTTGTTGGATCTGTTTGGAGGATGCTTCTGTGCAGTGCCTATTTACTTAATCCTTTCGAAGTAAGGTGACAGCCAAATTCCACCTTGCTGTAGTTAACAGTACTTGCAAGAATCCTCTGTCAGGCTTGATTTTAATGCTAAAGCATAGAATGTATGCTACTAATTGGACACTGCTGGATTCTAAAATGCTTGTGTGAAGCATAGCTGGAGTCAGTTTTGAAGGTGGTGAAATGTGTGTTATTTTAGTTAGAATTTCTCATTACTTGGGGGGGGGAAACTGGCTGAAGCTAATAAAATATTTATGAAAACTTGTGATTGGGGTGGAACATTTCACCTATCTTTCTGGGAGAACTTTACGTGGAACATATTAAGTGCATGTATAAATAGCTATATGTTGTTTAGAAACCAATTGAAAAGAAAGTCCTAACACTAAGCAAAAAAACTCATGCTGGATTTTTAGCTTAACTTTTAAAGTTAAGAGGATAGCAAGTATGAGTGAAACTTCTCAGAAATGTATATGACATAGCTCTTCTAAACATGGTATGAGTGGTTGCTGGTTGTATTAATGACATTGTTGAATGGGCGAAGGTGAAAACTAGATATGACTGTGAATGGTATGTAGCTCACAGATATCAGTACAGATTAGTAAAATTAGAAAGGCCTTTCTACTAGTGGTGCAGAGCAGGAGGCTGGAATAGAGCCATGGAAAAGTATTAATATTTCTCCTGCTGCAAACTTTCTCGAAGCCTAACAGACACCTATTGCATTTTAAATTAATCAGAGGGCTTTAACTACTTCAAGACAAAAAAGTCCAATGATATGGGTAGATGCTGTATTCCTGGCAATGTTCAAAGCCAGGTTGGACAGTCTTGGGTGATAGGATCTAGGGTGAGGTGTCCCTGACCATGGCAGGGGGGTTGGAACTAGATGATCTTAAGATCCTTTCCAACCTTAACCATTCTATAAGGGTGTGGCTTTCAGATGGTGACTGCATTCTGTATGGTAATTGCCATCTGGTATTGCTAGTGACTTGTACTATCTGTTTTAACCAGCCTGACCTCTATGTTGTTTTTCTTGTTTAGGAGATACAAAGGAGAGTTGGGAATATGACACTCCAGAGCGAAAGAGAACTGAATATTTGAAAACAAGTACTTCTGAGAATCTTGCAGAGATACTAGCACTGAGGGAAAGAAATGAAACCTTGGAAGGTCAGCTAGCTGCACTTGAAGAAAAGAATAAAAAAGAGTTTAGTGAGCAGATAACAAGCTTGCATCTCAAGCTTTCTGCTTCTGAAGAAAGGGCTTTTGGCTTAAGTGAAGAACTTAAGCAGTGTCAAGCTGATTATCAGAAGATTGCTTCTGAATTGGACAAACAGAAAATTATAAATAAGGAACAAGAAGGAAAGATTATTCAGCTAAATAACGGAGTAGAAAGTGCAAACCAAAAGTTAGTTGATAAATTGTCCCAAATTAAAGCAATGCTGTCCAAAGTAGATGAGTTGTATAAATGTCACTCACAAGCTGAGTCTTACGCTATGGATATTGATTTTGTTAATCTAAAAGCTTCATTAGACTTTCAAAAAGGCGAACTAGAGAGAGCTCAAGTGAGTTCTGTATGCATGCAGTCTCAAACTGCTTCTACAGAAGATCAGAGATGGGAGGGCTCCTTTCACAGCAGTGTTGAAAGCCTTTGGGAAGAATGCAAAAATATTATAAGGGTTTCTTCACAAAAAAGTCAGCGGATTCAAGAACTACTTCAACAAGTTGAAGACTTAAAGAAAGGACTTGGTGACTCTGAGAACTGTAATTATCAACTGAAATTAAAATTAAATGAAATTGCAAATCAAGATCATCAGTCCCTAAAGGAGAAAGAACTTATGAGTCAGTTAGAAGAGCAAATTCAGAAGAAAACACAGGATTTTGAAAAACAGGCTGCAGAAGATCACAGAGTAATTGCTGAGTTCAAGGAGGAAGTTACCACCTACAAGGAAAAAATAAGAGAGCTTGAATGCCTATTGGAGGCTTTTAAAGCTAAAGATGACAGCATAGAAAAATTAGAAGAAATACTCAAAGAAAAAGAATCTATTATTTTAAATCTAGAGACTAGTACAGTAGCTCTGCAAGAGAAATGTGCCAATTCAGACCTAACCATTAAAGAACTAAATGATAAAGAAGTAAATCTGAAGGAGGAAATTGTGCAGTTGATGAACAGTTTGGAGAATATGAAATGCTGTCTTCAGGAGAAAGAGAAAAATGAGGATGAGCAAATACAATCTATAGAGTTGTAAGTAAATACTGAGAACTTCTAGACCTTTGAGAATAGACTCAGCTACTTTCTGTGAACATCAGTTTATTTTGGCATAACACTTGCATGTTTATCAATTTTTTTAACCAAACTACTTAAAGTCTTAATGCACTACTTGAATTTTACAGTTGCATATTCTGCTGCCTATGTTTTCCTCACCTGTTTGTGTATTCTTCCATAAACATGCATCTAAATAATGTGGAACTGTTGTAGGGGGAAACAGGAGCATGCAAGGAAATAAGGAATTCTTTGGGGATCTCTAATATTGTTATATTGCATACACTTTCTAGAGGAAATAACATAGTTCAATGTTATATCCTGTAACTTGTCTAAAAGCAGGTAATGTTTTCTTTGGAAAGGACTGAATGTTAAAAAGGAAAAGAAGGAAGTTAAAAAAAAAAAGAGCTTAGGGAGTAAACAGCTGGTTTTGTTGATAGCTATTCTAGGTGAACAGAGCCTACTATAAAAAGTTGAAGGAATAACAGGTTTAGAAGGATAGAACTTTCCCCAGCCCCTTCTACTTTTTAGAACTCTAAGAAATAAGAGATTAAATGTATCTGACAGACTATATTTGTTATATGCTAAGGCAATTGCAAGACAAAAATAGCTTCAAGATATTACGTAGCCCTTCTCCTTACTAGGGTTTCTTTTGCACCATATTTGTAGGTACCTGCATATACCCTGATGCACAACTTAACATGAAGGTCCGGGGATCCCCCACCTTGAAAGGTGTTTCTCCTTTTGTGTGGCCTTGTTTTGTATCTTCAGCTATAGAATCTAAAAAACCTTCTGTTAGTTTTAAAGTAAAAATCCAAGGTGTCTTATTGTAAACTTTTAAAAATAAATATAATTTAAAAATTAACTCATCAAACTTCTAAATTATTTTGTAGCCCTTGTAATAGCAGGACTTGTTGCAATGTTATTGTTTTTTCTACTTTCTTATTTTTACATATTTTGATCCTTACAAGGTCTGGTATGTAGGTGTCAAGTTTAAACTTACTTGATATTAACCTTGTTCCTTTTCTTACTTTGTAAGGACACCTAATGATAAAAATGATTGCTCTGGTCTGCTTAAAAATAAATTGCAGTGTTCAGAAGTGAATCTGATCAGTTTATTACTTCAGGATCATATAATAAGCTGAAATACAAAAGTAAATTTGTAAGGCTTGGCATCAATTTGAGAAGTCTAAGATTATTTTTTTTTTTTTAATGAATAAAAACAGCATAGAGCCTGGGTTAATGTGGAAAAGGTGTTTCTCTGAGATATATAATACTAATGTCATTTACATCTCTTAATTTTGAACACAAGGCTACGTAAAGATCTTTCTGAGAGTTCTGCCCTTGTACGGAGTTTGAAAGAAGACTTGCAGAGGAAAAAGGAAGAATATACAGATTTGAAAGAGAAATTTTCTGATGCCAAGAAACAAATTCAGCAAGTACAAGAAGAGGTTGGTAATGTAGGCCAAATGTTTCTTCAAGTTTGTTTGTGGTTGTGTTATTAAAACCTGTTTTCACAAATTTCAAGCTATGAATGCTATGTGATTAATAATAAAGCTGTTTCAAGTGATGCATTTAGCATAACAGTGAATCTTAAATTAAATTGCCATTAAAGTTGTAAGCTAAAGATAATACCAGATGTCAAAACACAGATTAATACAGATACTGAAGGGGGGATGTAAATTTTGTTAATGTATTTGAAAAAGGTTTGTAAAAACTATGGCTAATCTGGTTATGGAGAAGTAAATTATAAACATAATCTTAATGACAACAGTAGCCTTATGTTATTCGTGCTGACTTCAAAGGCTGATGGTTCAGGGGGGAAAACACTGATACCTGGAAGGAGGAGATGGATTATTCAGAAAAAGCAACTTTTAAAAATTTGAGTTACGTTTCCTGTTAAGGTGTGGAGAAGAAAAGAAAGCATGGAATCGCTTTAATGTTAATTGTTAGTATTTGCTTTTCAAGCACAGGATGTCTTAGAACCTCATGGGATGTTACAAGAACTTAAAATTCAAAAGACTGTTGAAGAGTTTGGTTTGAAAATTAAGATTTGAAGTATTAATATCTTCCCCAGCAGCCTATAATTTGAGGACCTATTCCTACTCAACATTCAGTGTATAATCCCTTGTTTGAGAAATAGCAAGGAAATGAATTTGTAGCTTGATTTGGTTATTTCCTGGTAGGTCTTTTTGTTTTGTTTCTTTTGTGTTTTGTTTTTGGTTTTTTTAACCCCCTGCCCCTGAAAATTTAGCTGTTTGCAGATATTTAACTCTTAATTAAAATAATTAGCTATTTAGTAACTTACAAAGGTTGTAAGAGGCTTATACAAAATGCTAGCTTTCCTTGATGTCTTTGTGCATTGTTACAGGTGGGTACAATGCGATCTGAAGAGATATCACTGAGGAGCAAGGTTAATAAACTTCAGGAAATTAAAAACCAGCTTAGTGAAGAATTAGAGATCAAACAGCGCACAATTCTGCAACTTAAAAAGGTTGGGGGTTTGGATTTTTATTTTTTTTACTGCTCTTAGTTGTTTTGTTTTTTTTGATGAATCCTTAAATGGGGCAAGCAGAAGGAGAAAGCTTACAGAAACTGGAGTAAAGATAAGAGTTTGAAATTAATTTTAATAGGTGGATAAAAGATGTTTAAAGACTTCCTCACTGCATGCCACTGTCAAGTTGTTTTTATATAATCTGCCTAATTAATACTCATTTAATACCTGCAGATATTCTTATTAGTGACACATAGATATGTTAGTAGTAAAGTTTTCCTCTAAATTTTTTTGGGTTTTAGTCAACTTGAATGCTCCTTAACACCACATAAAAAATTTATGCTGGACTGTTTTTCTTAAATGTTTTAGGAGCAGTTGAATAATGAGAAGCTGGAAGAAATCTCCAAAGAGTATGAGAAAACATGTAAAGGTCAGAAAAAGATGGTTTTATTACTTCCCCCCCTTTGCTGTGGAATGGCAACAGAATGAGTTGTCATATTGTTAATGAACTTGAGACAGTTTTATATACTTATATTTAAAAAAAAACTAGGAACTTCAGGGCATTAAAATTATACAGTCAAGAACTAAATTTTATTAAGGCATTATTTGCAGGTACATTTGAAAGCAGTCAGTCTGAGATTAAGAAATACGAGCTCAGAGAAAGTATAAATTTGCTGATACCAGTGTCAGGTTATTAAATGTTGGTATTTATTAGTCATTTTAACAAATTGGAATGCTGAAACACTAACTAGCACAGTAACAGTTTCTGCAGGCTTGATAAACATCCAGCAGTTATTAGTTTCCCATATAATACAAGACACAGTCTGATGTTAAACTGAAATGTTTGCCTAAATCAAGTTCATGGAGTCACTTAAGAATTTTGGATTCAAATAGTTCAGTAGAGTTGCAGTATTTCTAATAGAGCTTTTGATCTTGGGCAGTGGGGAGGGAGAGGGCTTGTCCTGGTTTTCTGCTGGGATAGAATTGTCTTCCTAGTAGGTGGTACAGTGCTGTATTTTGGCTTTAGTATAAGATTAATGCTGAAAACAACAATTAAAACATTGGTGTGTTAAGTAGTGGTTTCTCATGGATCAGTTAGTGATGAGGAGCACAAGAACTTGGGAGGGAGCACAGCCAGGACAGCTGACCTGAACTAGGTTAAATGTGATAGGGCTCATTTGTAAATATTTTTCAAATCTTCAGATCTGTGTGCAAAGGAAAAAATAATTGAAGATATGCGGATGACATTAGAAGAACAAGAACAGACGCAGATTAAACAAGAAGAAGTGATTGAAGCCAAACTAGAAGAGACCAACAGATTAGTTTTGGGTAATCTATGGAAAGGGAGCAGGGAGGCAAAATTATATTTGATCTGTTGTGATTAGATGCTTTAAATGTATGGTTTTATTTGTTTACTGCTATTTAGGCATTAATTTTATGTAGCATATAACAAACTTCTAACAGTTAAAGGCTTTGTTGTTCCTTTGCAGTCACAGCTGATAAATTCAAGTAACTTTAGAATAAGGGTGTGAATGTGCTCAAATATGCATGTAAACTACATATTATATAACCTGATTTTGTGTACTGACTAGAACTGGAACTATGGAAGCAGAAATTTAGAGAGCTGAATAACCACAGCGATAGTGTCTGGCAGCAAAAGATGAGCAAAAATGAAGAGAAAAGTATAAGTGAAAATGAGGAAATAATGAAGCTGCAAAAAGAACTGAAGGTAAAATATGGTGATGTAATTCATACTTAGTTTTAAAGCCATAACGTTCATTTAGAAATCTACTTTTTTTTTTCTGTGTCACTGTCTTCAAGAGCTAGGGCATCATATGGCAAGTTGTGACACTAGTAAAGGAAACCTCCTCTATAAGCTGTTTTGCACCAGTACAGTAGTTTGGATGCGTATCTGTGTAACATATGGCATCACTGATGCCCTGTAATGAACTGCAGTCGCCCTTATGTTATGATACCATAGATGTCTTACTACAGCTAGGCTTCTCTTACAGTTCTTAGTTAATCTAACTTATGACAGCTATTCCAAACCTCTTTCCTGTCAGTTGCTTTGGCAACTAAATCAAACTTTCAAGATCTTGCACTTGCTCTATGACCTGTAACCCCTTCTTGTTAGACTGAGGATTTAAACCTAATTCTCATTGAATTAGAGAGGAGATTTCCCCTCTCTCCCCACAAGCAGCTATTCGGGTGCCTTCTGTTTTATGTGGGTGAATGTCTGACAAGAGCTTTGACTGTGATAAGAAAGGAGGCAAAGTTGCTGTGGATTGAAGTGACAGTCTTTGGTATGCTCGATCTTTGCCTACCATTCAAACTGTACTGTACACTTTGCCTTGCAGTCTTAAGTAGAAGTAAGTTTTCTAACATGTCCTGCAAGGCAGTGTAAAAGATTGGGAATTTGTAAGTTAAAAGAATCTGTTTACTTCTGGTGTGTAACTTTTATAGTGTGCTCACTCAGCACATTTTTAGATGAGAAAAAAAAAAATTTCATGAAGATGTGTCAGTCTGAATAAAACTTGCTGAAAATTGTTCTTTTTTTTTTTTCAATATGGAGGAACATATGAGAATGTAGTACTTGCACTTAGGAATATGCTAGAGTAAAACTGTGTTAGGATTTTTATCTTTTAGAAAGAAATCTGTTTAATGGTAACCTGGATTTTGAGATTTTTATTTTTTGTCTTAATCTCTACCTATGGTATTATTTCTGGTTTAATTAAAATAGGAAAATGAGGCAAAGTATCAAAGTGATAGAAAGAAGTGGCTGGAGGAGAAAATGACACTCATACATCAAGTAAAAGAAGCTGAGATCCTTCGCAACAGGGAAATGAGAAAATTTGAGGAGGAAAGAGAGCACCACATAAAGAAACAAGCAGAAATTGTAAGTGACTGGAGATCTTAGTGTATTGAATCCTCTAGTGTCTTTAGCACAGAGCAAATCTCATGTGAAGTGTTAACAGTATGGATGCTTGAGGGTAATTGACCTTTGTCAAAATCCCCTCACTTTATCACATGGTGAAGCCTAGATGAGACCATCTTATTAAGAAAAGGGAAGAATAGGGGGGTCACAAGCTGAAAAAGCTTAATAGGTAATGGAAGTTAACGTGCCTGTTCCTTTCTATCCTATCATCACCTCACTGAATTCTTCAAACATTATTTTGTGGGTAAAACACCTATCAGTAACCTACACTTACATGAATTGCTGCTTATTTGAAGCTAAGAAAACAGACTTTGAAAAATAGGATTGTTTGTTTGGCTTTTTCCTAAAAGCAGAGGTTAACAAAAAATCTTCTTTTGAGATTTAGAGTAGAGTAGTTTTTTATTTAGTTAAAATGCTGGTGGTTTTGTTCCTGTATCAGTTTCAACTGTTAATTACAAGGTAAATACCTGTTCACCAGACTGCGTCATGGTTGTATTTCTTGAGTATATAAAATTATTAAATGAATCTGATCAATCTAAAGCTGTATCTGCATCCAGATATAGTTGGCAATGACTTTCTGGACCTGCAATCAGTACAGGAAGGTATTAGGAGCTTAAGATTACTTTAAAATTATCTGTGGCTTTGCTTGCCTGAGACTTGCTTGCTCTGATTTTATTACTAACAAAGAGTATAAATATAGATGCAGATTTTCTAATTGAAGCATAGTTTGCTTTTTTAAAATAGCTTTATGTGAGCTTTGTAATATCAATGTAGGCTTTCAAGTTTACTCAGGCAATAAAATAGTAATACTATGTGAAACCAAACTATCAGAACAGTTTGGATAGTGTGTAGAACTGGTGTTCAATTCTAATCTCTTTTTTCCCTATTTAGGAAAGACTTGCTGCTGCACAGCTGGTAGAAAAGGACAACAATCTTCAAAAGTGGCGTGAAGAACGAGATAAATTAGTAGAAGCTTTGGAAATACAGCTCAAGACTTTGGTTTCTAACAGCACGCAAAAAGATAAGGAAATAGCAGAACTGAAAGAGGCTGCACTAAAGGATTTGGGAAAGGTTCTCTCTCTCTTGTTCTTGTGGGATTTTTTTTTTCTTTTTTTGTTATTCATTAATTCTACAAAACACACAATACTTTTTGTGTTTTGGCTCTGTTTTTCTTCTTACTGTCATATTGAAGCCATTAGCAGCTCATTAAAAATAGAAGCTTTGTTTGAAACCGAATTTGTAACAGTAACCAAAGTTTCAGAACATTTAGTGGTTTATTTAAAGTCTCTTTGATCCTTTGATTGCAAAGTTGGACTGGAGATCTGAAACAATTATCATAGCTGCTGCTTTTTTCACAGCCCCAGGGACTTAATGAGCAAATGGGAGGTGAACTCCACATAAGTAAAAATTCGCGTTGCATCTTCCCCGGGTGTTACATTACTTCCCTTCACTTTAAATAGTGACCACTCATACATGAAATTGTTGGCTTTTTGTTGGAAAGCTGACGGGTTTAGCTTGCAGTTCTAAAACTGACGCTTCCAAGTAATGATGCTCGTGTGTATATTTTCTTTTGCCAGTCCTGCAATTTGTGGCATTTTTTGCTATGTTTTTTAGGATAAGGAAACTGATATAGAAGAACTAAAGAAACAGCTGGCTGAGAAAGATGACTTTATAAAGGAACAGAAACAGCAGATTAACCATGAAAGTCTTCCGTCTATCGCAAAAGTACCTTTACCTGAAGAAGGACAAGATGAAATAGATCAGTCTGTAAACAAAGAGGTATGGTTTGTCACGGAAAGTATGTATGAATTACAAGTTTTTAATAACTTTTGTTGTTTTGTCAATATATGTTTCAGCAACACTGGGAATCTGACAAAACTTAATGCTCATAGTTCTTCATACTTTATCCTCAGTTCTGAGTTCTTGTCCATTCTTTCCATCTCCCACTTTTGCTATCAGAAGTAGGGTACTTACATTAATAGAATACCATCTCTCGATACGTTATAGAACTTACATACCTGAGGGGAAAACTAGTTAACTAATCCAGGTTCTAGAGATTTGAAGACATTGTAGTGCCATTTCAGTTTGATTATCCTCAGGAAATTTCAGCTCAAAACTTCTGTGATATTGCCTATACTGTGGTAATAGAGATGTTTCTGTAATAGGAGCTTCCAACCTATATGGGGGTTCAGAAGAACAAAACAATATCTTGCATCCCACACAAAACCAAAACAATATTTGAAGTTTATGCGAAGAAAGTATCAACTTTGCTTATTTCCGGAAGAAAAAATTGAAAGGTTTGCAACTATACTGAGACTTCCAGTTCTGACTGAACCCTTGCATGTTAACTTGAACAGTATTTAATGGTATAGTTCTCCTGCTAAACTGAATTAATGCTGTGTGGCTCTATTGTGAATTAATAGTGAACAGGGCTGAAAGTGGATTTCCTATCAATCCCTCCTCTGGCTGCTAGAACGTGCATTTCTCCTCTTGCTACAGAACTGGAATGAATGACAAAATGCATCTCTTCATCTCTTTCCTGTCTACTGCCAAATAAGACTGTCTGGCTGGTTTCTTGCTAGTTCATCAGTTCAGCTAGTGCCACATAGATAAAGCTTGTGATGAATGAGGGAGGACAGAGTAGCTCTCAGAAGGGTTAGTGCTTTACACAGCTTTGTAATAACAGGTAAGAGAGCACCATAAATTTTGGTTTTTGCTATTAAAGTAGTTATTGAAGAATTGTTGTGAACAGTTGGTGCTGACATACTTACCTCAAGGAAGTGGAGAGAATATTTGTTCCTGTGGGTAAGTGGAGGTGTCTAGGAGGATTATCATGTGAGAAACTTCTGTTGATGCTGAAGTTAATGGAGTAAAGTTTTGAGGGGAGAAGTCAAATAATTTCTGGGAAACACATTGTGACAATGAAGAAGAAAAGCTAAAGCATTCAAGGGGATATGTCTCCTGTCATTTAAGAAGAGGATAAGAAGATGGCACTCTGATTAGGAGAGGTGAAGGCTACTGGAGAGTTATGGAGCTGAGGTTTACAAAATCGTGGTTGTGATGGGTAAACAAAAGCCAAAACTGTCTTTCCTAAAATCCTGCAAGAACTGGGCAGCTGTTGATGAAACTAATAGGAGGTAATTTAAACAATTAAAATAAAATAACTTATTCCTATCTGAAGCCACTAATGATCTTCTGAAAACAGATAATATCAGCAGGGAATAGAAAAACTTGTGTTTGAAATCCGTAACTATATTCACAAATGGGTAGGATTAGGCAAAGGTATATCCTTTGATTCCTCTGATGCAGCAATTGAGAGTGCTGGGTGAGTATGGAGAGAACAGACAACAAGGTGGCCGGGACAACACATTTTATCCCTCAGAATAACAGCATCTCCCTTTGCCACTGTCAGAGGCAGAATACTGAACTAGATGGACTGCTGGTAAGACCCAGCAGGACATTTCTTACAATCTCTTAGCATGAATAGATTTTAGTGATTCAAAATGTCCTGTTCCCTGTTGCCCAAACAATTCTAAAACGTTTTGGGGTTGTTTTTTTTATGGGTTTTTTTTTTCTGTAAATCTTTCTTGATGATCAGATCACCTAGTTTTGTTGCTTTTGGTAGCAATAAAAGCTGCATGACATAATCATGTGAATATATCTGACCTGAATCATGTGTTCTTGAAAACTTATCGCTGAGGCTTATAAAATGGCTGATTATTAAGCAGAGTGAGGAAGTCCTCATCAGTTGAATTTGGCTTGAATCAATCGAACCTTGTTACTTACACAATTAACTTCTCTAAATGCAGAAGAGGGAGGGAAAGCACCCTGAAAACAAGCTAGATAAAGACTATACTTTTCTCTCAAGCCCCTATTACTGCCTAGTTCTTAAAGAGCAGCAGAGTTAACATGAGTAAAATCATGTCAATGCTACTACTGCTAGCTGTGAAAACTGTGACTAGCTGTCTCTGCCCTGGAGGAAAATGACATGCAAACGAAGTATCAGGCTGAGTTCAGCAATGAAGACTAAGTTCTGTAGTCATGCATGGAAGTGTTAACTTTTTAAAATTTAACAGAAGTTTTAGAAAATGAGAGTTGAATTCTGCTGTAGTTGAAGTAGATTTCTTTGCTTTTATTATAAGTGTTCCAAAAGCTGACTGCTAGAAAAAGGAATGCTTGCTATGCAATCCATTGGAGAAGGATATGTATTATAGCGTTTAAGTCATAGTTATTTTAAAGCTTGTTTTCTTAAAGTGTTCCTATGCTTGCAGGACCATTCTGAAATTGTGCTTGACTCATCTGAAGTGTCTACAGAAAATGGAAAAACTAGTCGGTTCCCAAAACCAGAGATGGAAATCCAGTTCACACCTTTGCAACCCAGTAAGATGGAGGTGAAGCACCAGGGTAGCAACATACCCGTTACAGTTAAAATGCTCAAGACAAGAAAGAAAAGAAAAAGTGAAGAGATGGATGAGGTATGACCTAGACCAACTGATATATTACGTTGTGCAGCTTTTCTCTAGTACTCTGATACTTTGTTCTCTTTGATCTTTTTGTACTTGAAGGGACTATGTACCAGCACCTGAACCTCCCTGTTTTCTGTAGGCCTTAATACCTCTTTAATTTCTTCAGATGTACTAGATTATGTACTCCAGCCCTCTTAATGTGCTGTGGTGTTTACATGTGGGACAAAGGCTCCACAGCAGTCCAAGGTGGTAAAAATCTTCACTTCTCCTACCTGAACTGCATGTTCCATCCCTCTGCCTTCTATCAGTGCCAACACTTCTTTCTCTAAGACACTTAAGAAGGCCTTGAAACCGTAAGACCACATTGTGGTGGTACTTCAATCATACTTGTGGGGCTTATGAATCTCTATGCTTTTAGGGACTTTTGAAGCTGACAGGTAAGTATGAGATTATGGATGATTTGTCTCTAGGTAGTAAGTGGTGTTTTAACGAGTGAACTTGTCTCAGCTGAAGAGTGAAGTGTCTGATGCTTTTCTAGCATTTCTTGCTCAATCATTCCCAAGTGATATGTTTTTTTAATCTGTAAATAAAATAGTTAATATAAATAATCACTTCCATGATTACTGTGCAACAGGGCTTCAATAAACTCATTTTGTTAAACCTGTTAAAAACTGTGTTAGTTCATCTGGAATTCAACACTTCATTCTGGAAGCATGTCCAGAGCTGATTTAAGTTTCTTGTGGCTTGAACCAGTTTTCTTTTGAGAGTAGTATTTTTTTCAGCTTGCTGGCAAAGTAGGTGTAAAAATAACCACCATTCTGAAGGCACTGAAAAAGTACCAAATTTTTTCTACAGATATTTAATCTAATGTAGTTATAGAATCATAGAATAGTTAGAGATTTTAGAGAAGATTGTTTTACCTATTCATTTAAATCCTTTCAGTGTAGTTTGTGTTCATACCCTTATGGGAGAACATTCAGCTAAGTAACTTTTCAATAACATGAAACAAAATTTAAAAGTATCTTATTGCTGTTCTGTTCACCCAAATATGACTCTTAAATATAATTTGTTATGCTAAATAGATTATAAAAGGATTCAGCAACTTTAACTGTCACACGTCTGCTGAAGACAATTTGTTTCTTAACTTGTCTGAAACAGAAAAGCATGTTGTCAGCAGTAAAAGTAAGGGCTGGGGGGAAACCTGTGGTGCTCAACCACATACTGCTCATCTCCCCCCCTTTTTTTTTTTTTTTAAGAAGTGATGTAGTTTGGGGTTGGAATTTTAGGAGGTTTGGGTGTGGTTTTTAAAAACCCACATCTTTTGCTGAGACTCTCATATAATTAGGCAAAGAACAAAATTCTCTTTCTCTTCTGACACTGTTATCAGTTGGTATGGCTATTGGTTACCTGAAATCTCTTGGCAATAATTAATGAGATGAAAGTCGTAACAGTCTAACACTATCATGTTAAGCTGTCAATGTCACTGACATGTTTTTATAATTGTCACTGTAAATCTTAATTTTCATTTAGATTTATTGAGTTAACTTAAATTTATGTATTTGCTTCTCAAATGTCTTAAAGCCAGAAGTATAGGAAACAATGGAAGGAGGAAAATAATAAATGTCTGAATGGTTTGACCACAGGTATTTCTAGTTCCCTTCCACAAGTCTGTTTAGCGTTTAATTTACATTTGAATAATTACTTCTATCCAGTATTAGCCAATGGCTCCCTACTGTTAGTCACAGCACTTAAACAGTGACTGCTTCTGTAATATAAATAATTGTTTTTTTTTCTAGAAGAATCTTAAGTAAAATTTGTCATATTTATTTTCTTAGGATTTTGTGAAAAGCGAGAACAAAAAAAATGCAAAACCTGCTATGACTAATTCGCCTTCTACAAGCAACAAGAAAATGGTTTGATTTTATTCTATTTCTGAAGTTAGTTTGGCCTTTTCTGTAAAGGTGGACTTGTGAAAGGAGCAGACATATGCAGCAGTATCTTATCTATGTACTTGAATAGGATTCTAAACACATTGTCTTCCTAAACTCAATAAACTAACCAAAAAGCGTTAAGTCTGTATTTACAAAGAATGTGTACTAGCTGCACTGTACAATCATTCATAGGGAACAACCTTTCATATTGAATATTGAACATACTATTAATATAGATAATGTTATAGGCAATGCCTTTGAAGTAAAAGCAAGGTTTATTTCACCTATATGCAAGAAAATGGTGAGGATTATTTTAGGCATTAGTAGTAAACTGGGTGGGATCAGAGGATGGGTAGTGGATACATTTTCCCCACCAGTTTTCTCTTGTTTTAGTTATAACTAGAATAGCTGGTCTAATGAAATTGCCTACAACTTTGAATCATTCTTTTTTTTTTTCTTTAAGAAACTGTTTTCTATATTTCTCATGCCCTTAAATGTATTTTGTGAAACTTTGACAATGTTTTTTAATTCTGGGTATAAAACAAGGCTGTTTATATTTTTTTGTTGTGGTAGGGTCATTAGTACAGTGAACAGAAGTGTCAGTAGGAAAGCTCAAAATGTCAGCTTGAAAATAACATTATGGTAAAATAAAGCGGAATTAAACTTTAAGATAAGTCAGCTTGCAACTTAAGCAATGCTCTTGTATTTTTGTACAGATGTCTACTATGCAGCTTAGAAAACCATACTCCTTAAGAAAGCAAGAATCCACTTCAAGTAAAAACTCTGATAAAAAGAAAGATGGAACACTACAAAAAATTGGAGATTTCTTCCAAAGTTCTCCTACTATTATTCAGTCTAAAGGTTTGTACAGAACAAATAAGTCTCATTGCATATTCTCTGGACATTGCAGAATAAATTTTTCTACTGTAACCTATTAATACATATACTGTTCAATGATAAGTCTGCTTCATTAAGTTGCTGTTTTGTTTATGAAATAAAGGACTCTGAACTGGGGCCTGCTATATTAAATCTTGCAGAGCAGAAAAGGTTGTCTTGATTGCAAAGACCACATGGTTATCAAGTTTAGGTTATGAAAGGTAAACTGGATGGAATGAAAGGATGCAGTGTGGAATATATGCATATAAATTAATCATAAAAGACATAACTGTTAAGCTCAATACGTTGGAGTTACTTTGGTTTTGCTTAGTAAAACAGTCAAGGGCACTTTCAGGGACTTGTCCTGCTGCTCTAAAGAGAAAAAATAAAGAGCTGATTCCAGATTCTAAATCTTACCTTGCTCTATAAGCGATCCCTCCTTACCTACACCCCACCTCCCCACCACTTTGTTTCTGTGGAAACTGTTTTAATGCTTTTCTTTATGTACATATATGGGAGAAAAAATTTAGTTCTACAGAACCTAAAAGCTGGTGTCTTATGAAAATATTTGGAAGACTTGAATAAGCTGACTATGAAGCAATTAATGGATTTCACTAAGTTTAAGCATAGCCTCGGGAAGATTAACCGCTGGGACTTTCTACTAAAGAACATGTTATTCTTTCCTATATTGAAACATAATTTCTGAGTTACTGTGTTTGAAGCAAAAATAAAATTATCAGTGGGCACAAGGAATTGCTGTGTTGAATTCTAAAAGACACAATTGTTTGGTTAAAACAAGGGCAGTCATTATTCGGTGTGGGTGGTTAAAACTAAGATCTCTATACCAACTGAAAAACGTGACTTGCTACAGAGTACATCTTACCTGCTGTAAGACAGTCTAGATGCCGATAGTGGGATTTTTTAGAACATTCCAGGCTTGTCAGGTTTGGCTCCATGAGGACAACATTGTCATCAATGTAAGCCAAATTCAGGTTACTCAAAATTTCACCCTGAAAATACTTAATTTGGGCAAATGAGGTCTAGTTTGTAACCTTTATAATGTCCTGTATTTTTCTCTTTTACATAACTTGCTATTGTTCAGGATGTCTTCTTTTCTAGCTCATAATATGCATACAGTCATCTCTTTATAGAGCTAGTCCTGCCTTGGTAAGACTACAGAAATGTATAGAGAAAATTGACTCTACCCTGTGCTCCTGTGAGCACAAAGAAGTGTTAAGCCTGTTGTTCAACTTCCTTTGAATTGTTTATTTTCCAGCGAAATCTGAATCCTAATTGATTTTAAAGGACACCTTTAAATAGCACATTAAACCTTTTGCACCTGAAGCTATGAAAAACTTTTTCCAGCCACAGAAAACTGTGGTAGTCAAATACCACATCTGAATTTTTATATTGAAACTTCAGACAATATCTCTTTAATTTTTAAGTTGTTTTTAGTAAAGCTTGCTTTATTCATTAGTTTTGAGGTTTACAAACACAGTAAGACATTGATTTATGATTAAATATTTTCATCCAGCAAAGAAGCTGATTGCAACAATAAGGTCTCCTAATTCTGCAGAACCAGAAAGCATAAAAGAAAGTGAGCTGAAGCCAAAACGAGCTAAGAGAAAGCTGTATTCAACTGACATTTCTTGCCCTCTAGATATCCCTGCTTCTTCGGTAAGTGATTACAGATTACTGTTCTGTCCACTGTGATCTAATTCTGTAATTGTGATTTAAAATACGCTAATAGGGGGACACAACAAATCTGAAGGTCTAACCAAGTTGCAGAAGAAGTTTGAAAATACTTATTTCTTGATTCTTCCTAGCCATTGCTTTTGGCCTCTTCTTTCTGCTGTTTTACTTTCTCTGTCTTCTCACCTGTCTGTAGATTTGGAATAGCATAATTGAAATACTAAAGCTACAAAAGTCTGCAGGTACAATTAACTTTGCAGGGCAAGTGAGCACCAAAGGTAACTTCCAATTCCATTTATGCCCAGCTGATATTTGTTACTGTAGGATGATGGTACATTCATGCTTTTCAAAGCACAGTTTAGATAGTCTTCTGCGTGTGCTTAAACTGTGTTGCCCTAAGTCAGCCTAGACCAAGTCTTCTAGGCCAGAACTTGATTTATGACTTCTGAAATCCACGTAGATGGTTTTGACAGTAACTATGGTTGCCCATAGTGAGATATGCTATTGAATTTTCTGTAAATAGCGTGAATGAATACAGCAGAAACAAAAATGTTTTTCACAGGAGGGTGAAGAAAATGATAAATGCAAAGCAAAAGAAGCTAAGAAGCTTGAAAGTAAAAGGGAAAATGACAGTCCAAATTCCAGGAAAGCAGAGATAGCTATAGGAAATTAAGATAAAAATATGTTTTCTGAACACTTCCTGTTTCACAAAATGAGTATTAGAGTTTAGAAGAGAGAGCTGGTTTCAGATCACATTTTGCTTTGGACTTTGGCATTTGTTTCAGAAAAAAAAAAAAGTGATTTTGTATGTCCCCAGTATTTGTCACTTATTCTGATGGAATAAAAGAGTTTTTCTGTACTGGGGACCTCTGGCTAAAAGATAATAAGGAAATTTCATTCTGAAAACAACTTCTGGGGAAAAAGCAGGTTGCTGATTACATGGGTCTAAAAGTGTGTGTAATTTCTCTCTAAAGAAATGCTGAGTAACCCTTGAAATATAATCTCTTTCAGATTCTTGTAGAAGAAAAAAAGAAGGAAAGCGATCATCTCATCATGAAGCGACGGCTTCGATCAAAACAAGCTAAATAATCTTGCAACAGCATGTTTGTATTTCCTTGTTTAGGTCATATTTCTATTGTATTATTTTAGTTGATTGTACATGGGAAGTAATTGATACTTCATTATGCTCTGAAGTATGTATATAGATGTATAGAATTGTTCTGATATTAATTTTTGACTTCATTAAAACTGAAATGCTGTTCAGGAAAGCTTGTGTCTGAGTCCATTCCTTTATTCTTTTTTAAGGAATGGTGTCCTTGGAAGTGTTCATAATTTACCCATTGTGCAGGAAGTACTATGCCTGTGTGAAATGGTTGCTTTTTCAGGTGACCAGTATATCTACGATTAGAAAAAATTGACTACACATCAAAACTTGTATATGGCTTTCTTTACTCTTTTCCAGTAGATCATCTGAGCATGAAATGTCTCATTGTAAGGATAACACATAGTTCAGTTCTGTAGATCCTGATTTGCAAGATCAGATTCTCATACTAAGTTGCTTCTCCACTTTCTTGACTGTGAAATGGAGTTGTACCCTTACACTGTTCCATGTCTTGTCCTTAAAGAAATATTGATGGTTTATTTTTTTTCTAACTTGACAGTGACAAAGTGAGCCTGATTCACAAATCTTTCACCTCTTCCATTTCTTCAACTTTTTGTTTCATCTTAGAATCAGAGAATAGTTAGGGTTGGAAAGGACCTTAAGATCATCAAGTTCCAACCCCCCTGCCATGGGCAGGGACAACTCACTCTAAACCATATTACCCAAGGCCTCATCCAACCTAGCCTTGAACACTGCCAGGGATGAAGCATTCACAGCCTCCCTGGACAACCTATTCCAGTGCCTCACTACCCTAACAGGAAAGAATTTCCTCCTGTTTGTGTGAGTGTGAACTCAGATTTCCTTTTTGTTAGCTCATGTTTGGTATTGCCTTTCTTCCCTCTTTTCATTCTAACAGAAAAATGCAAAATCCAGGTATGGGCAGATAATTTTAAATAAAAATAAATGTGATGTCATTTAATAACTCTTCACAGGTAGAATTTTATACTTTGAACACTTTGTTTTTCTCCAGATCTCCTGTCTTCTGCTATCTGTAGTCCAGATACCTGGACTGATCTCTTTCAGGGCTCTAGAACACACCAGTGAAGATTGTTACCTGATATAGATGCAAGTTGTTCACTCTACAGAAATCTTTTATAGATGGAGGCAGGAAATATGCAAGGTGAAGGTGACCCTGGCCACTGCAGGAGGACTGGAACTAGCTGATCTTGAAGATCCCTTCCAACCTGAACCATCCTGTGCTTCTATGATAAAGCAGTCTTAAACAATGGGACAGTACTTGGGATATTTATTCTTTGCCTTAACATTTTGTCTGGGTGGGTTTTTTTTCCCATTTTTAACAGATGTTCTTTTTCAGTCAGCTTCAATCTTGACCCTTAACTTCTTTTTTCTGAGTAGTTTCAGTTAATTTTAGAACCCATCAGCACTTGCACTTGCCTGCAGTGAAATACATATGCTATCATGTTGCCTTGAATGACAGGTTGATTGCTTATCGTTAAACCATCAAATGGCCTTACAGCTCTTATTTAACAAGAAAACATGCAAGGTAAATGGAGAATTAGAAGAGCACTGAATTACTTGATTGTTGCCTGTATGATTATTGATCTAAATGTGTGGAAAGTAATAGAAGTATCTTCAGCTATTTCATGTAACTGAAATTGCTGATAGTGTTTAATCTCCTTATCAAATATAAAATTTCATAGTTTCAACTACTGTGTACTTCTTCCTGATTTCATGGTTAACTAAGTGACAAAATTGCTTCGATTACTCTGGTAAATTGCAATTTATCTGTGCAGCTAACCAGGAAGTAGAGTCTCTCAGTATAGTCAAGTCACTGACATTTAGGAATGCTACTGCACTTGAGCGGTATTGCCAATTTTTCTAAGCTCTTATATTTACTAAAATATTGTCAGTGTTGCTGCTCTATCTAAAGGCTATGAGAACTGTTTTTTTCCGGAAGCCATTTAAATGAGTGTCTTCATTATAACCTGAGCACAAGAGTAGCTATATATACATGCATGAAATTTAATTTGTTCATTTTTTGTCCTTAAATTAGCCTTTGCATTTGAAAGAGCCATACTGAATTAACTTCTTTCGTAGGTGTAGGCTTGGTTATCAAACTCCATGGTTACAAATATTTAATACAGAAATAAAGCATGTTCCCTTTTGTTTTGATCAAGGGACTGTGATTTCTGTACTTCCTACAGTTGAAGTTTGAGCCTATATATGCTGGTAGCCTAGAGAATGGGTCATACTTTATGTATCTCCTTTCTCCATGTCAGGATTTCCAGTTATTTCCTGAGCAGAAAGGGAATAAAAATATAATCCAAGAAAGGAGCATATTCACTTTCACTTCTTCAGAAAGAATGGAGTAATGAGAATACATTTTTTTGTCCTCCTAGTTGAGACTGGGGCTAGCTCTGTATTGTTCTTTTATCAGCTCCTCTGAAGAACAAAGCAAAAAGGTATTTTAGGACCTTGTGTCCTTTTGCCTTCTGATTCTTCCTGATAAATACCATAGCTAACTCAAATCTGAGCATAACTCCTATTTATTTTACCTTATGCTTTAGTGTAAGGTTCATCAATTAACTTTCAGATCAGAGAATGTTTTTTGTCTGTTAATGGAGATGTCAATTCTTTACCTAGCAAAGACTAAGATAAGCACCATTTAATGGACATTTGGTCTATATTTTGACATGAAGATGTCTGGTAATACTGAAACTGTCCATCGTCTCTTCAGAACTTACTTGGCTGTAGGAAGGTGTGATGCATGTACTGTGCATCACTGGCTGAAGGGGGTGTTTCTATATATAAAATTCAGCCATGCAGTACTGATGTCCGAAGACACTCGGATCACACAAAGGAAAATTTCTTGGGGATAGGCACAGTGACTTCCACTGTTTTGTGCTCCAGTCCTCCCTCCAGCCCTCCAGATTTGAATAAATCTAGTTTCTGGACTAGATTCAGGAAGAGGGCAACATTACTCAGTATCAGTCTATTCTATACATTGAAAACTTCTGATACTTAAAAATGAAGCTTCCTTTTCACCAAGAGGATAAGCTTAGATCCTTATAACTTTAATAACAGACTTTTAAGACATGGCCTCCTTTCTTTTAAGATATGGTCTTGCTTCTCTAGTGTATTGTTTTCTTACACGAGGAAGGAGACTTTTTTGTAATATGAAACAGTTCTATTCCTGGTGTAACATCTGAATCCGGCAAACTGCCTTGTACAGCAACACCATTGTCCTTGAATAGTTCATTTTGAATGTGTCATGCTTCAAGCCATAATTCTTAGAAAATAGCCTGTGTTGTACTTGTGTCAAGCTAACCCAACTTTTCCAATGGTTAACGCTCATCTTGAAAAGACTATTCCTTCCTCAACTTCAGGTCATTTGGGGTGAACGCTTTCTTTTGTCATCCTCATGACACTCCACCTACAGACCTAATGAAGGCTTCTGGGAGGAAAACGTGAGGGTGTTACTTCATATAGGTCAAGCTTTTCTCTTTGGCAAAACTAAACAAAGCAAGAGTGGCACTATTTGATCAAACAGCGCATGAATTGAGGGTAACTCAGGAGTTGAAGTGAGAAAAGGAAGCAGAATATTTTGGGGGTGATTTTTCCGTAAATGATGCAAGTACTTGAACGTTCTTGAAACTTGATTGGTGCTGTGAGAGAAGAAAAATAAAAATACTTTAATGAAACGTGCTTGCTTTGGTCTCTACAAAGCCAGTTAAGGTGCGCTGCCAGCGACATCAAAACTCCCAGGAGATGGCGCTGGGACACTGCCCGCAATCGCGAGTCTCGCCGCTGAGAACTTCAGCTGCTAGGCTTGGAGGGACAGAAGTGTTTTACTTTGTTTTAAACTAATCCACTTTTCATCCCATTTAGCCAAGCTTTATAAAAAGTTCAGAATGGAGCATTGCTGGACTATATTCTTGGAAAAATCCTAGTTCTCCAGATCTGTTTTCTTGCTACAATGATGTTACCCATGCACAGGAGCAATCAGCATACAGGCCTGTCACAGATGATTTTGTTTCTCAGATCAGGATTCTGAGAAGTAGTATTGGTTTATATGCACTGATGTCTACTGTGAACTGTTCATAAATTTCTGCATCCTAACATTTCACAAGAGCGTGTTTTTCTTTTCTAACAAAAATAAAGGATACTCCCATTGAAAAATTTACTAGGCAGAGCTGGGGTTCCTCCAAGACCTAAGAGTATGAGATCAGATTTCTGAAGGAAGAGCTTGTTTCCAAGAGCTGTTTCCAAAGTTTCCAGATATTTATAGCTCTTTGCACTGATGGATAAAGTTGGACTTCCCCATTGTTCCCTCATCTCACTCCTGAGACGCTGATGTCAAACAAAATCACTATTCTGCCATAGGGACTTAGAGTGCATTTTGCTGTAAGTGCTATAACATTGATTTATTTTTGAATAATTTATGAGAATATTGAATATTCTATGAAGCAAGCTGTGGCTTACTTTACAACATGAAAATGTCGAGTTGTACCTTTCCTGCTGTGCACTGATGCCTCCATGCACTTTTGGGTTGCTGTTGAAAGATGAATTCTGAAACTCTGCTCTGGGAACAAAGACAGGTTTTTTTAGTTGAACCCAAACACCAGCTTTTCCAGTTCATTAAATAACTAGATGATTTAGGCAAAATGAGCTTGCACCTCTTTCAGTTCATTTTCAGCTGTTTGAAGTGTGCTTTGCTCTTAAAAAGGAGTCCTTTTAATCATAGAGAAATTGCTAATTTGATGCATCATTGTTGTTTTATGTCAGATAGGAGAGAGTGGAAAATTCTGACTTAAAAAAATGGATGAAGGAAAGGCAGCATATGTAGATAAAATCAGTATATTAAACAGCATATGTATTTTAGATCCCCTTAAAGTACCTTACCTCATAGGAAGGTATACTTTATCTGGAGGCCTTACATAAAGTGGATAGTTCTGACTACATGCTTGGAGAAAGCTGCCTGGCTAATTTTATGTGCATTATTAATCAAGGGATATTTAGATGTCATCTGTCATCAATAGCCCTTAAAAAGTATTTCTGTTTTGACATGTGTTAATGCGT